TCCTCGTAGATCACTTCCGTCGTGGTTCTGGGTGCTGATCGGTAAATCCCACCGTACTTTGTCTTCTTCCTGTAGCCAGAAATCGGCATCATCTGTAAGCGTATTAACAGAATAAATATACATATACGTCATCGTCTAGGCAATCTGTATTGCGTTTACATTTAGTGTTATTTTTAAGTTAAGCAAAGACAGTTTTTGTTCTTCAAATAAAATAGAAAGAAATTAGCAATGCCAAGATGTATGTTCGTAGATTAGCTTTCCCGGCGGCAGGATATATGTGCATACATGGGAGTACCAAAGGGGTATAGTTTTTTATATTAATTTACACTGAAATAAATCTAAAAAACACTAATGCGCGTGACCTTCATCATGACATATCCCTAATAACATCAATAATTAGCTTTTACCAGCGCCAAATTCCCATGCCACTCTGGTAATCAACGGAGCACATACACGCAATGGTGCTCGGAAAACTTAGCCTGCATTCGGTGACCCCGTACAGTGGTATTACATGCGTACATATCATCCAGCGGCAAAAAAGTCTACATTGCCGTTCGATGTTGTTTATACACACACTCGTGTATGATTGTCATCAAGTAAAAACGTCGCATTTGTAGCACACAAAATAACATTGGTATTGAATGTCGGACAGTACGCATGAACTTCAAGATTAATAGTACGTGTGGTGTGGCTAATCACGCATGCGTATTTATGTAATCATTATTTCATAAAAAGAATATTTTGTTGCGCTCGACAAAAAACAGACTCTTTAGTTTATAGCGAATAATCAACATGCAAAGAGTTAAAAACCACACTCAAATTCATCTATATGGTCCCTTTGAGTTTCTTTGCCAAAGTGACAATGTATGTCAAACTTAACTTGGTCCTTGACACGCAAATAGCAATATTCGTAAAATATGCTTATATTATAGCGCATACTATGCGTAACCTCAGTTTTTATAGGCACATAAAATGTTGTTGTCTGCAGGCAAAATGTCGTTAACAAACTCGAACGCACGTTTTATTTAATTAAACGGAAACTCAGACTCGTGGTATTTTACTGCCCACATTTTAAATGTTTTCGTTAGCCCTTGATTGATACTAAGTGACTCGGAAGTGATTAAAACAGAATGAATGGTTGAGTTAATATGCATTAATACGTGGGTCACCGGCGACAACACGTCATCATTTTAACTAACGTGCATTCAGAATTGTGTAAATAAAACCGTAACTTTTATGGAGAATTTATGAGAGGGTACAAACACATTTTATTATTATTATTATTTTTTATTATTTAGTAATTATTTATATTATTTTATGATTATAGAAACGTAAACGTAAAAAGCAACTCACCAAATGACTACAGAACCCTTTTGTTTTACATGTACTACGTATAAATGAACCATCCCAGAAACTAGACTACTCATTTTTAAAATCTTGCGGTCTTGAAATACGCTCACAATTCTATCCAATCAGCGATAAGTAGAGCGCCATCTTGATTGTTTTCATAGATCACCACCACGCAGAGGAACTTAAAGCGGGAGGGCCGTCACCTGCACACGCGCGGGAATTTAGTCCCAAGCAAAGGCCATCTGACGCGTGCGCAGGTGACGACTCCCCCGCTTTAACTCTGAATCGTCATATTGTTGCTCCCGCCTGCAATTGGGCCGTGTCGGCGATTTTAATGGGCTGAGAATATATTTTATTTACTATGTAGGCTATATTTTCGAGGGTAAATGTTTATTTCTTGTTGAACCTTGAACGTTTCTGATCCTGTGGTGTCGCTGGCCCCAAAGAGTTCGACCCCTTCATGTAGTTCATGCTCCTAATAAGGGCCCCCCATACAGACAATCATGTGCATGTAGTCTGCTACATCCTTCCAAATCAAATGACGAAATCTGCTGCCAAATCATCTGCATTTTTTCCATAGATCGTGAAACCATCAAAATACCAAGGTCACTCATAAATGTCACGGGAATTGTCGTGTGGCCTCCCTATGGTTACAACACATAAGCCTCTCGCGATGTGCGCTCTCGATGTATGTTCCTACCATCACGTGACCATGATTCACCCAGTACATATTATTACATGATAATTTTGTTTACCGACGAACCTAGCTATTCATGTAAAACAACACGGACACACTGTCAGTGAGTTAATTTATGAAATGTATTTTTGAGTGTAGGCTCTGGCGAATGGGGACATACCAGTCTATATCATGGTGCCGCTCAGGCTTGTTGTTAAAATTTGTGAAGAAGCAATTTAGCGTTAGATTAAAGGAGTACCAGTTTTATTTCGTTTTAAGCAGTTTAAAAAATGGCTTGGCCCAATTTGCCGTCCAATCGCTGTAGTGTCATCGGCACATCCAGATTGGTGCTTCTTCGTGGAAGCATTTGTTCATAGATAACAATTCAGCTGGCAAAGATGTACTGTGTACACGAAGGCAGAAGTATGTTCAGGGTTCCCGCTAAAAACTGTTGACAAAGTTGCAATACCGAAACACGGGAATTTGGTCGCATGAGGTATTTTATCTCAACACCCAAACACGTGATGATCTCAAAGAGTTTCTTGCTTTCATCTGCCTCCAGAAATCTGATTCGGATTATGGTGTACCCATTACTGTATATCGACGACCGGATGACCCTACATCCTTTACCATCTGAACAATGTCCTATCAGGACGCGATAATCTATTACATCTTTGACTACAAGTCATCAGTTTAGTTTAGCTTTCTGACTACCATTTTTAGTGACATGTTGATATTGTCTCCAGCGTTATTTTAAACAAGCTGTCTATCCCTATTAATAGTGAGACTTCATGATACCAGCTTCCAACGTCTAAATGCTACACCAATAAATATATCCACTAATTGTCTACTTATTACGACCAACTGATGATGTCACTGCCTTTCCTGGACATTATTGGTTACCAGAGTGTTCTATGTCATTCCGAAGTTAATCCACTCGTTGTTGGCAAAATCATGCAGATTTCCAGGGAAGATATCATTACCCCCATCGCCACTGACAATCTAGTATCTTATTCTAGATCTTTACAGTCTGGTATGGTGCAACCGCATTGTCACATTTCTCACCAATTCAAGAATCCGACTGGAGCTGGACTGCGATTGCGTCCATATCCAGAATGCTACAATGCAGTGCAATTCAATTTAGAACCCCACTTAATAATGGTGGGAATACTTTCATTCTTAAAAAAGATAGTATCCCAGGTGGCACTCCATGTCAGACAGATTCAGAGAACAATACTAGATGTTACAGAATAGCGAAGCGCTTCCAGTGAAAATGCGTCCCAATCATAATGTTGCCAAGAAAGTGTCACAATACTCTAAGTTGTTTGGTGGATCCCAGCCACTACAAGAGCACTCATGATACAACTCCATAACTAACCAATGATTTGGATCACAAAACACTACATCAACTGCAAGAATGTTTAAACACCGTGAAAATGAAAATTCTTCTTCAACGCCATACCAATGACAAGTTGGAAGAAAAAAACTACAGCTGACGCTTTGGGCTGAGCAATCCATAGAACAATTTATTAACTGCCAAAAAAAACACACAAGAGACTCATAGGCAACCAAATCTTCCTGCTCATTGCTATATCACTAAATTGCAGCGGATGACCAATATAACGATGGTACCCATGGCCGAACAAAGTGTGGTTCTTCCTATTTCTTAGTCTCCTAGTGGATCACCCATGGGTGCTCTAACCAAGCGGTACTGGCACAACCCGATGGCCGTTCACCAACGATTACACATGTAGAGGTACTCCAGCGTATCAGCCAAATGAAAAGTTTTTCGTGAAATTCCACTCTTTCACTAAAGACAGCCTCCACACCCTGGAATCTATTGTTGCAGGGGAGCACCTTATTAACCAGGAAAAGTCATGAACGTTTTAGTGGGAAAATGTGTTACAACTTTTTCTTATTCAGTGTTATTATTTCATTCAGTAGTGTATTTTTTTTCCTCTGGCTTGCATAGACTTACGAGATAATTGTTCCTGTGCTCTCAAATAACTGTTCCATTGGGGTCTATTACTAATCATCGTGATTCATCACCGGAGAAACTTTTCAGCTATTAAAAGTTGTCATAGAAACTTTTGGGAGTGTACATTTTTCTGTATCGTGCGTTCTGTACTTAGGTTGTCTAATATCGGACACTGGCAAATGTCTCTCAGTAATAATATGTACAGATTGTAAGCCTTGCGTTTAGAAACTCAAAGTTAGTTTTTATACAACTTAGACTTACTTATAGCACACCTCACCTTCTCAACCATTTTCAACCTTGAGAGGCATCATCCTCCCCCCACGAAACATATTAAATCTTATTAGTCAAATTTGTCTGTATTTCCTTAAAATTAAATTGCATTTGTTTGTTTTTAAATATCAAAATACTATCAATACTTCTACTACTGTTTCTTTACTAACTTGATCCAGAATCCGATTGCACAAGAATGTGGCGCCGACTGAATCTGTCTATCATCTTGAATTCAAAATATCTTCTGTAAATATGTAACAGTAATATGTGCACTGCACAAATGGGGCAAGGGATGGAATTAATTACGGGTGTATTCGCAGTTCAAAAGAGGAAAATTGTCAGATGACCTCAAAACGACCCCGTCTACCTGAATGACAGGTCGTTACAACTACTTTCACTGAGACAGAGATGCAATGATCCTCTGTTATCCTAGCAGTGATGATTGGGTGATCATTATTAGAGAAAATAACTATAAAATAAGATCGTACAGAAAATGTATTACGTTTGTAATCTCTGTCCGCTCTCTGAGCTGTATTCACGTTCATGAATGGGCTACCATCTAATAAGTTTGAAACGAAAACCTGATAATATTCCTAGTGATCTGTAGAAATATCACTAAATAAATAAAATACAGTAAAAAGATGATTCTGCTCTAACCACGTGATTCACAGAGATAATGATGCCTCTCACCTGTATTTGCATTTCATCACGCTTCGCCTTAATCTTCTCCTGTGCGAGATGATGCTTCTTGGTTAAATATGTGGCTGCAGCGAATTCTACCAACGACCCAAGTACGAACGTGAAACAAAGAGCTAAGTACCAATCCAGCGCCTTTCCATATGAGACCTTTGGTAAGCTATCACGTATACTCCACCCAAGCGTGGTAATTGTCAATATAGTCATTACCCCTAGAGAGAAAGAGAGAGAATGAATGAACCAATGCAAAATTAATACCAATCAGATAAGTAATACTTTTCGTAAACAGTGATCAACCTTTTCTCTTGCAACATATAAGGGCAGAGCACTTAAACAGGAGGAATGGCAGCTGGAATCTTTCAACATACCAGAATATCGACTCTTTTTCTTTTCAATGCATATGTAGTTTGGTTAGCGTATTTAACGAATAACAAATTAATGAACCGAAGATCCCAAATATTAATAATTAATTAATATTAAGCAATAACAATTAAATTATTATTAAGAAAAAAAGTGACTTTGATTCATGATTTTGTGTATAGTGTTAATTCGTGAATTACCCTATGTATTTCAATACCAAACAAAACATTGTGTGCAGTATATGAAATGAGCATGCATACGACACACTGGATATAGACTAATGTGAACCATCGATGTTTTCATAACACATGGTGTATATAACAGCTGATTCTTCTACTCACTCCTTTACTTAGGTATGGATCCTTATCAATCTGAAAACAAAGGCGAAATATCGACAAGGGCTGAGTTTGCCGCCTATCCAATGGTATAATGGTTTACGTGACAAAATTGAAATTATATTGTCAATCAACTGATCTATTACTGATTGAAAACTGGAAATTACACTGAACTGTGTCCTTACTGTTGCAGTGTTGTGATTTTGCGCATGTGCGACATTTGTGTTGGTAAACATTGTTTTCCTTCAGTTCAATGCGCTCTTCTAATGGAAATTACATATGTGAGTTTTGACCTTGGCTCGACGTACAATTTTGATACCTTCCAATCACCCCCAAAAAATATTAGAGCTTGGTTATGTCTCAGTTTGTAGTCTGCGCAACAGTCAAAGTTGCCATCTTTGTTTATATGAGACCCCTATCTCGTGCATGCGTGGCGCGACGACCACCGCTCTTTAAAACACGGTTCCCTTTAGAATGTTGAATTTTGAGCGTTCATTGCAGTAGCTATGTTTGTTTGTTAGTGACACGCCATACCATTGCTCGTAAGCAGACCGTAACCATGGTAAAATAATGAAAGATGTTAACTGGTGTTAAATATTCGAATACTCCAAACGGATTTGTATCCCCAAAAAGAAATAGGAAACTGATCAAAATAACGTCCCTTTTGATGTCGTTGTTTTGACCTGTTCAATTGAAAGTAGGATATCCGCTGTGTCGACATTAAACAATTATGGATTTCAGCGTTGAATCATGCTACATGAATACAGAAACAGTCACCACATTCTAATAGCTCAGTCGACCTTCTGAAACACGGAATTGTGCAGTGCCTTTTCAACTTTTTTTTTCATGGACGAGTTCCTTTTCCCGAAAGCAAAGACCGATGAAAAAATAAACGACTTATGTAGATAACTCGGAAAGGGATACATGTGTATACACCACAACAACTCTAGTATTCAGGCATCCCCACGAAACATAGGGATGTTGAAAATCTGACGCATTTCTTGGCTGTCAGATTTCATTGGTTGTCCCCGACTATGAATTTAGTCGTATCCAGTACTAATTATACCTACACCCGTCGTTCACAGTTTCATTATAACGACCTCATGACAACTCCACGAGTCCTTGATCGACTTTACCAGCAATGCAGGAGTTGTTAAACAATACCCTGTTGACTACAGCGAATCGAACGTCACTGTTAAGGCAGCGATGAACATTCCATCTTCACCACCTACAGTTTTTGTTTGTTTTTTCCGTCAAGCCCATCCCTTAACCGCCTTTTATTGTGTACTATACCATTTGATGGGTCTCTCTCTTTATTCACAACGGCGATACAATAATCTTTTAATAGTGGTAAAGGAATAGAAGATGCAAACCGTTTGATAATATTGACGTTAGTGGTTAAAGGCTTTTGCTGGATCTACTAGACCCTGGGCCCCCTAGCTTGATGTATTATCCATACAAACCCACGCATCTCCACTAAAGATTGACAATGGCCTAAGTGTCACCAACCCCCAGCAAAACTATTGGACATTATTGTTGAGACCCAAGTAACACTATTAAATTCATGCCTGTAGTCTGTGGATGGAGGAATTGTAGTTCGGTAAGAGAAAGCAATTTGTAGCGAATCAGCAGACTTGATACCTTGCAAGTCAACTTTCTGCTTTGTCGACATTAAAATGTAGTTGAAGGAGCATCCATTGACTAATGGCCCAGTCTAATGGTCAGATCAACACGTCATCCATAGTACCCCGCTCAGTGATCACCTATTTGCTTCATCACCCTAAAGACCTCGCTCACTCTTAACGCTTTCGTGTGTACAAATACAATGGCAGGCTTTGAGGATACGCACTCAATACTTTATCAAACAGACTGTACGATGGGAGACTTTCTGTGTGACAGGTGGTTTAATTTCTGTCAGCAGAGTGATGCTTCAGACAGGAGATTTGATTAACCTCCAGTGCTCACCTGCAGGTGTTAATCTTAACAATTATAATAACGTTTACAATAACAATTATAAGCAAGGCGGGAAAGCAGGCAAGAATCAGGTTCTTACCAGGAAGAGGAATAGTCATGAAAGGTGGTCTTACAATCATCAAAGCAATGAGGCTAACACCAACTCGATAAGTCTGATGCTGCTGGGTCGGAGTTCGCCTGTCACGCCAGGGAGACACTGTAGGCAAGATTAGAAAAGCCAATGTGCGGCACTGAGTCTACTGTAGAAATTCGTCCTTGCGCTGTTATGTTAATTAGTGTTTACTGTCAGATTTGTGCTATACTTAATTAATGCTCAATGACAATTGAGTTCATGCTTGGATACCTCTTCAAGGGTGACTAGGTCTCAAATCCTGGAGATTTGGGTTGATCACTGTGTATAATTTTATACTTGATTTTGCGGTAAAAATATTTTGAGAAGTTCATACGGCGCCCTCTCGGACATTTCTCCATCTTACAAGATGGTGACATAAACATTCAGATGAGCTTCCGAAACAATTACGTTTGACAGGTTTAGTTTTTATAGCTAATTAAATTTTTCGTAGTTATGTATGGCTTTACTAGAAAAATGTTATCTAGTTTAGTTTTTAATTGTGTTGAATAATCGTTTTTTTCTTGTAGTGGTCATATAATAAACACGGAATGCCCTCTATCTTGACTAGATATTTAGAGTTTTATGAATACCTAATTAGTTTATTAGATCAAACATTCGAACTTTGTGTATTCATTCTCGGGGTTATTACTTGGAAAACAACAACGTCACGGTGTTAATCTAGGTACGGTATAACTCGCGCTCTTTTAGTATGGCTTTTAAAGCGGGGAGTCGTCACCTGTGCATGTGTCAGATGGCCATAGCGTGTCATTGTTTACAAACAAGCGTCCACCCATGAGCCTTTGCGTTTTTAGCGTGTGTTATTATCGTCGCTTGGGACTCAATTCCCGCGCGTGCGCAGGTGACGACCCTCCCACTTTAAACATTTCTGAAGGCCAAGATCAGGTCTTCATTTACCATAGACCACACTATAACTTACATAGATATCTTGATGATTTGTACCAATGAACAATGATTTCTGTAAAACATTTTATTTGCTTAATACTTGCACATAGGCTTGCACATAGGCTTTAAATCGTCATTGCTTCTCAGACCTAGTCAGAATTACAATGTAACAATGACACACTATTAATATGTCCCTCTATGACAGATCGACTTTTTTTATCACATGTTAAAATTCCCCCAATTATGATGAAATCGAATACTGATTGACGCATCATGGAGGGGGTTTTCTTCACGCATTCCGTCTTGATACAACCAAGAAATACTTACCTCCCTCCTCATTTCTCCTATATTACCCAGTAGCTTAAGTTCGCTTAAGCACGTGTGCAATTGACACGTAACTGTATATAGGCGGGACCATCTAGTTTCTGCTTATATGAAATAGCAATTATCGGAGTTATTACCTCTCTGGTGAACAATCCACTGTTTTTGGAATTAACTAAATTAACACCATATATGGAAAGCTGTCTGGGTTGTATTATTTCGTGTAAGAAGGAATTTGAGTTCTCTTAGTATACACACTCGAACATCCACTCAGAGCACACATTCCAAATCACGTGACTGACTCTTACCTAGTGCTACGCGTGCTGGTGTTGCTTCTGGGTTCAACCAGAACGATACCCATGATAACACGGTGATTAGTATGCAAGGTACGTATATCTGTATCATAAAATAACCCAGTCGTCTCTGTAAATAGAACCTTGCCACTAGAACGGACCTGTCGCCTGAATAACAATCAATAAAATTCTAACATTATTCACAAGAAATTATCTCACTCAAAGCGGGGGGTAATGAAAATGAATAATAATAATGTGCTCGAATAACAATTATTATAGTAGAGCGTAACTAGTGATTTGTCTGCTAACTTCATTGTTCCATTTCAACTGCTAAGGGTGCAGTTTCCCTCAATATTTACAAGTAGGGCGAGCCACACACTTCTCGTCTGCAATTGAAAGTTCAGTCGAAAGAACTGGGTCGGTATCTCGTGGTTGATTTGTATTATTCATATGGAAAAAACGTGTATATGTTCGAATGGACAGTACTTACCGATTCTATCGGACTTTAGCCGAATTTTTTCTGTGTCTTGATGGGTGAATTCAAACTGCGAGAGCCTCAAATCTGGCGAAACCTCTACTTTATCAGGGTGCCAATCATAGATGATATCATCGGTTGAAAAACTGTCTTTTGAAGAAAGCACATACATAATACGAGTTTATTATCGTTAGCTATCGGCTGACACAGTCTTGAGTAATGTCCAGTCATTTACCGCAAATGGAGTTTATTTTCCAGCCGAGTCATTTATCATGAATGGTGTTTATTGCCTTTAACATGGGGTGATATATAGTCCTGGGTAATATCCAGTCATTTACCACAAATGGAGGTTATTACCACTAACATGGGATAATATAGTCTTTTGTAATATTTAGTCATTTGTACGAATGAAAGTTATTGCCTCTAATACATAAGTACTCATACTCAGAAATATGAGTCATCGCCTATCAGACTGGAGCCCGGTAATATAGTCCTGGGTAATGTGGGGTCATTTATTACAAACAAAGATTATTTGAGATAAACTATACGTACAACTGCGGTGTGTAGTATCGCTTACATACTACGACATCGATATGTCGGAATGTACTAACATGGGCCCATTTTGTTCTAATTAATCATACACTTCATGTGAACTCCTTTAAAGGTCACCTGTAATCATTCTCCTTAGTTTATATAATTTGTCAAAACGTGAGGCAATAGTTCCGATCCCCACTGTTGGTGTTACGGAGTCGCTGCTAATAATCACACAAAGTGCCCAACCACTGCCCATGATTACATTATCGGGCTTTGTCTGGTATCGGGTGATATAATTTCATACCCGCAGACGCCCTGGGGAATCCCCAATTTGTTTTCTATTCATACAATTACAAATACCGATGTAAAGTTGCATACTGTGATATACCTATCGGCATACTCTTTCTAGTAGGCTGGACCTATCTTATCGATCATTTGGGCAGCTCCCGGGAGTTTTCCCTGCGTATATTTTACTTCCTGCATCGTCTTTTTTTTTTTACTTTGTTGGCTTTCACATTCCATCAGATTAATGCCATGTCTCTCAGTGTTAATAAGTTCATCAGTTATCTCTTACAGCAAACGTTTCTTTTTACACCCTACATTTATAAACTTAGATGTAGTCATTCCTGCTAATTCCTCTCAGCGTGTTCAGATTAGGTTAGCTCTTTCAAGCTGACAAGGGAATTAATGATTTATTTTCGCTTCTTCTTGCAATACAGATAATTATATCAGCTAGTGTTAGTGTGTATACATCTACTAGGGGCATGTGTCACGGCTTTATGCAATATATCGCCTCTGAGGACCCGTTACGAAATCCAATGCCAAAGTACGTGATGGGCAGTGCTTGAAATCCTAAGAACATGTATTTATTCAATTACAAGGCTCGGTTCTTGTTTCAACGAGTCTCCGTAGCTGTCAATAACGATGTTTCAAGGATACGGAGTCAAATCGCATCACCATGATGAGAAATGTATCGCCCCCGCAACTGAAAGCACCGTCAGCCTCCGATAATCAAAAAAAAAATGTTGAGACGCGGGATACGTCTACAGTCGATTAAAATACGCATGCGTCCTGCTATGTTACAGTATCGGTTTCGCGTGAAATCGTACGTGCACCACGTGAAATGAATCCACAAACAAAATGTTAGACAGTTACTAGATATAGATAATATGGATTTACGCATGACCGATACCATAACGTTTGTACGGCCGTTATTGCAATTAACACGACGTGCCAATGTACTAGTCGGTAATTCGTTAACTGGACCGATATTAAGCGCAATCCGATACTGTACTCGTAAATTATCGTACTAAATATTTTATTAAATGCCACGCTGAACAAGGTCTGTGAAATATTGGTGCATAATAATCCAATTTTCTACCCCAGATAATAATGAAATTAATGATAACGACCATTAACTACAACTTTGTGACGTTTATTGATACTTTTGTTTTCCCTAGTTATTGGCTTAGATATCTAATAATAGCAGAATAATTACTTCCTTAGACTTTCACGCCACAGTATATTGCACTCGTAACTATACTTCCCAGCCGCAATTAATGAAATAATTAGTTTTATCTATTCAATGGCTTGTGTTTTCAATTTAAAAAAGGAGGAAATAAATGAAAAGTCTCCCCAGGAGTTTCAAAACGACATTTTTTCGCTCTCTGCGTAGCGACGTAAACATGTTTAATTAAAATATGCACACATTATTTTGAAGACTAAAAGCTGCTGTTCACTGCGTTTTTTTTAATTATTACAGAAACTGCAATCTGTGTACACTCGGTGATAATATAAATAAGTCATCCGACTGAAAATAATTTAAGTCCTGATAATTAATATAAACGCATTATCACCGTGCCTGGATGTGGGCGACAATCCCAACGATTCATTATGCAGTAAATAGGACGTCAATTACTAGTAGTTCGGAATATGAGAATCTTTTTGCTGTACTAACCGCATGTAGACTATTTCGTCGTAAACTGTTAAACGTACATATACTAATATATTATATGCAGATCTCAAGTGTTACTTTATGTCCGGGTACGTCATACAATCCACCATTTTATTCAGCATAGAAGTGTAAACACTTGAAAAAGCAGGACTATTTTACACATAGATGCAATGAATCAAGTACCCACAGTTTTTTTTTAACAAAAATAAAGCCGATTCAACTACCGTAACGCTAGTATTGACAATATTGGCACTGACAATTTGTTTGATCCAATAGAACCAACGTTCGCCTGCGTTTATACAGAGCACACTCAGTGGCGGCGGTACCGGGGGCAGGGCAGGTGGTCGCCCCCTCCCCCCAGTCAAGCTGAACTCCTTTGTGTATTTGTGTCGACGCGATGCAGTTGTCTAGGAAGCCTGTCTTGCCCCCAAATAGCGTTTCAAAGGGTCTAGATTTCAACAATACTCCGGAGGAGCATGCCCCGAACCCCTTAGTAAGGTAGGGCCTTCGGCGTGAGGGATGGTGAGCAGATCTCGCCCCACCCCCATTCAAAACTTCGTGCCGTCATCTCTGGTTGACTTTAGAACAAATGGTCGTCTGCGTTTAGAGAGAGCAAACTGAGCTCTGACATTATAACCAATGATTGTTTACGTTTAGTAACAGAATTACTGAACTGACGTTACATATAAGCAATTACAGTCTGCATTTAGAGAAAGAACACATTGATCTGACATCAGAACCGATGGTCGTCTGCGTTTAGACAGAGCACCTTGAGCTGACGTTAAACAAAATTGTCGTCTGCGATAAAAACTACTCTGTGTAATTCACTGATAACATATCCGGTTTGGAAGAAATTATTAAACCACTTATCATATTTACTGATATAATACTTACTGCTGCCGAACTGGAGAGGGCACATCTGACCATCCATGGGGTATTTCTCGAAATGCATTTTACACTCGGCCACAATGGTCAATCTATAAAATAACAAATGAAAAGATTGATGATTTGTGATAGTTCGAGGCATAAACAGCAGCTTGTATTGTTAGGAATTAATTAAGAGGGAAGATTGCCCCGTTGTTGTTCGAGACTAAGCTCTGACAGCATATTTGAATGAGAAATTGAACAATCGTATGACATTATGTTAGAATTGTATGTAGAGTTTCATTACTAAAATAGTGTTTACTCTAGGGTATTGCATGTATACCTTTAATTAGTTTGCAAAGTCCAATTACACACATATCAAAATAACCCAAGTTATATCAATCACATACAATGTAAGCCACGATGTCTTCATTAAGTTGCCATTACGAGCAAGGAAATTAATTACACCGTTTACTTCCTCTGTACTGATTACTTAAATAAAATCAATCTAGTAGTATATTTGCGTCGATATATATTTTGAAAAAGTCTGTGTATACCGGAATACATTTTATATTCCTTGGCTTTTAGAAACACCCATTAACAATGTACGGCCATAAATAACAACAACAAAAATTACATATTTTGCAATTTATTGTATACTCGACGGATTATAAACTTAAAGTACAATGTATTTGGTAAATAACATATACTGTTATCTCCAGTAAAGTGTAGTTATATTTTGGTGAGTGGCTGCAATTTGTTATTAATTAGAACTATTTTACCATTTTGGGAATGACAAAATCATATAATGATGACAGTAATGATAGATGGTATGATGCATGACAATAAGCACTCATAAATCCAATACTGTACCACGTCTGTTAACTAAAACACGAACGACGCCAACGATGGACACATGGCCATCATGTCACCAGAGACAACAAATGAATCTTAACCAACGTTATAACCCAAGGGTGTGTATTTCCAGTTCATCATTTTCACTGTGTACAACATATTACACTTTATTACTTTGATGCGGCTCTGTAATAACTTTAGCAAAGTAATTTTACCATTTAATTGTATTATTACATTTCTCGTTGCATCTGCACTTCATCCGATTACTTACAACCATTTTCAGCCCTCCAGAGGGCTGTCAGTCAATAACAAAGTTAAAGTTTCTGCTCGTACTTCTAGTACCTGTACGGCGATTACATTGGCTGCGTAGAATTCAATTCTACAGTACCTCCTCCGACTTGGAGGACGCGTTCGTCATAAGTGAACACACTAGATTTGCAAACACAAGTACTTGACCTATGTTTAGCTACATTCTTTAGAACATTCAGTAAAACAACTTGTAATGTAATGACTGATGTAACGTAGGTGATGTACTTGATTACAACGCTCGCGATGCATGACAACGAGTTTCCCTTGGCAACAGAGTTGGCATGTAGTTATCACTACATTTATCAACTAATGGACCAGAACAATGTGGGAAATAGAGAAAACGTCTAGAATAGTGATTGGCTATTAATCACCCTGTAAAATACACGTGAATCTCTCTTGTTACTGTTTTGTTAACGTTTTTCTGATTGGGCGGATGGTGTTGCGCACGATCGTATCATTGGCTACTGTAGCAGGAGCAGGCACACTGCCATGATGAGTTTTCTACATATATTCCAGCAGTATGTTTCGATGCAGAAAATATTTTCACTTGTCATTTACAAAACACGTTCGTTACAAATTTGTATTTGTCGATCAGTGTATTGCTTTCTTTCTATTACAATACTTCTATTAGTGCCCTAGAGGTTTAAACACCGTAATCAGGAAAATTGTCCAAAACTCAAAGTTTTATCGTATAGTTCCAGGCTGTTCGTCATTTCTTTTCAATAATCCATGATTACGCATCCTCGTTCCCGGATCTATTGAAAAATATCGTCTTTACTCGACTTCCCACCAAACACGTTTACATTCATGAAAAAAGCCGTAATGAAAAACTAGCGTGCGTTGCCTCATCCTGATCAAATGAATATTTTACATGTTTTCAAGTCATTCACTACAGAATGTTACCGTGACAACGGTGTCAGATGTTCAAGAAACTGAAAGCATCTCCGAAATTAATCGAAGAGATTGACATATATTGTTGGCACTGATGAATAACTCGGGAAAATAATTTCAAATACAAGAAATTAAAGAGAAATTACGGATGGTGTGACGAGTCGCTTTGTATTATTTTTTTTTATTTTTTTTCTGTACACATGGATAACACGGGAACCCTTCAGCGACGGAAGATCAAGGTACCTAATTAGAACCGCGGTCAAAAGTCGACACATATAAAAAATAGTAGAGTAAAAGTGAAATGTTGCAGATTACCTCTGTGTGTAAAGCACGGTGCCGTTGGGGCCGATGCGGAACAGTCGATTGGGGGTAGTGATCGAGTGATCGTACGACTTTTTACCGTTGTGGAAGTAGGTGTCTGGGTACCAGATCGATTCCAACATCACAGTGTTTAGCGAAAGAATATCATAATGGCTGTCACGATGGGCTAAGCGAGGGTCTGTCCAACGTTGTCTGAAGAACACATCCAGATGGTACTCCTGTAAGAGGCAGAAAGTGGGACAAACATTACTAGATCATTAACATGATGTAAAAATCACGCAGTAAAATGGAATCTATCACGGCGAGTATGAATAAATATGAATGGATTTTATAGCACAAAAATAAACCAAACATACATGCATATTTAATTATATTACTGTTTGTTAATCATTAGAGCTGAATATTTGTATCGGCTTGATAAAATTCCATCTCGGAAATATTCTGCTTTTGTATTTTAAACCAAATAAAAAGCTCTGATTTTCATTCCATGTCACATATAGTATAATTACGGATGGTTGACAATCTGTATTATACTAAACGCAATCTTAGAACAATTTAGTTTCATTTTAAATACTATGATTGGGTTCATATCGAATTTCATTAATATTTATTGCAAATAAATTATCCAGGAGTCTATTAATCTTGTACTAATTCCTGTACTAGATACTCGAGATACTGATGGTCATGGTCCGCATTATATCAGAAATTGCCTTCGCCGGCCCTAGATGGTTATTATCGATAATAGCCCGGCTCTTAAAAGGATTAAGTTCAACTCCAATGAGTAGGTAGTTAAACTTCGCCCTCGTCAATTATACATTGTGGTAATTTTTCTAATTACGACATGGGCCGAATAATACGAACGCCCGGGGTGAATACATGACCGGTGTCCATGTCGTCGCTTCGCTACCATATCGTACTACTTTGTACTGAATAACTAATAGGTCGTGAATTTTAAAGGGAAAGCACGGCGTCTCGGCTTGACCTTTTCTAGCGCGACTACTTTAACATCACACTAAACACGGTACTTTGCACGCGACGTAAAATAGTTCAACATTCATAACAGACATAATTTCGTGCAGATATTTGTCACGTGGTTGGTTTAATGTGTCACCTGCATATCATTAGCAGTCTTTGATTTAGTATTTCAACTCGGACGTTGTTCTCTCGGAGGTGTTCCTTGACAAATCACGGAGGTCGATCGGCGCACGTGCCGTTAAAAATGTTCAACCTTTTTGGTTAAAACACCACAGCAATATTGTCGTATTTTTTTGTCGATAATATTTGTCAGTGTTACCTCCAATAACTTGTGAAGGATTGATGTCATACGGATACTAGTGAATTTCATTTTTTTTCAAGGTTATTTTAATTTATTGTCAAATTAAGGCTATAATAGAATATAGTAAAGAAAAAAAGCCATCTTGATGGTTATGACGCCACGATGGCATGATTAATAATGTCGACCATAACAATAATTACCGAGCACGTGATGTGTAGCTGTAAAATTCAATCATGTGTATTTCCTACCTTTGTAGACTGGCAATTGTGTCAGCCAGTAGGCCGGGGCCAGCCATATTAATGGTGTATAATTGAGCCACATCAACACTAGTATAATTGGCGAAACGCATGACAATTTGGGGCTTAGCCTGAGAATTGAATTATTGTGTGTACAGAACTGGGATGGGAGCGCATTTCTAGAATTCTATTCATCACTTGCACTCACGCCATAAATAAACTTTAAAGGGCGGTGGTCGCCGCGGAGCGCGTCTTCGAATTTCATGCAAACAAACAAAGTATTTTACACGCACTGTGTACGTCGCTAGGAGACCCATATCTCACAGGACGCGGCGCGACGACCACAACCCTTTAAGCATTCTATATCCACATCGTGAAGATTCGGGCCACAAATGTCTGTTTTTAAATATAAACATAAAAATGGGCGTTTCTGATGCATCCTTAGTAAGGCCCAAATTGTGATGCATTGAAAATCCAATGTCACGGAGCGCATGACCTTTGAAGGCAATTAAACGAAATGTTACCCAAAATATTCCATATCAAATCTAATATTATTTGGGATCACAGAGTACCAGGTGAACTAAAGAGAAATCATGTGTGGAACTCCCATTTCAGGCTATCTTCCCAATTTGCTTCGTAATAAACCACACACGAGGACCTAGCCCGTGCTTGTAATCCCTGAGAACGCTATAATGTTCCCGCCAATTTATTTTTACGTATTCGTTGTATAATTTCTTTAACCAAATCTATATATTAATGTCCCTATTGCCTACAACTCTGGATCGCCCCTTTTCACATGAAAAGAAATATGTGGGGTTATTGTGTGAAACGTGACTACAGTTGACTTTAATGGGTTAACAGTCAACGCCAAGCGCATTAATGTTTGTTTTGCTTTATTCCCTTGGTGTCGCGTGCTTGTTCGGTATTGTTGTATCGTTCGGTGGTCGCGTGTTGCCGCGGATTTAATTTCAGAATGTGCCATCCTCGACATTAATGCGTGTGGTCACGTGACACTTGAGCGTAATTCAATTTACAGTAACAGTCGTGAGTACGGTTCTTGACATTAACTTGACTTTCTACCCTTGTTTCATCTTACAGAATGACGACATTCACTACTTCACACGTAGCTCCCATCTCACACAGCCAAATATAGTATAATAAATGGACAATCTGTCTCTACATTCATTTTTTTTTAAAACTGGAACAACACGAACGATTATGTCGGTTAGTATCACCGACAGTGCCGTCACATGGCCCGGTCGGTGGAAGGAAGCTACAAGACAAATTTTTGCCGACGGACGAAAACAAAATTGGGCATGTTCCCCATTAAAGTTACGTGGATTATACCATTTTTTACCTCCATGATTATACTAATCGGCTATCAGTTATAATCGTTTGTGTCGAGTAAATTCACGTTCATGGGGTTTACGCAATGTTAATTTGAGCGGAAAAACAACATAAACCGGCGCAGACAATTATATCAATTTCTTGAAACGCAATGCCCTGCCCGACGGACACTACGCCTTGAAATGAAACGTATTATCGAAGACTGTGAATTATTTTGAAAACAGGAAGATGCAATGATGCGTCACTAAATGTGAACAGACGGGTTAATTACGTATACAAGGAGTGCATGTCAGGTACGAAGCCCGACCTTTGCTGTTTAATTCTCTCTGTGGAATTGCCTGAACGGAACTGTTACTCTTTTCTTTCATTTATGCATGTGCAATATATAAGAATACCCCTAAATCGAACGCGTTGCATACAGATAGATGTGATGCATGGAAGTTTCTGTGAAAGAAAATGTCATTTCATTGAGATTAGCATGGCAGGTCAGAGGTCAGAATACTGATGATCTGATGACAACATGAGAGTACCCCCATTTAATGGGCACATTGCTATTTCAACAGAATAACGTCAGACGGTTAGAATTTTAAGACGGGATTTCCTAAACTTGAAAAAATATTACATTCTGCGTCTGGTCGCTCGGGTGATAATTCACGAGAGGATAAACGAAGTAGGTGAAAGGTTCGGACAGATGAATAAATATTGCTGATTGATATGTAGCTTACCATGTCAATTTCTACGACAGGGCCTATACTTAAAGCATACATATCTGCCTGCACGTTGACTGGGCGACCTGAAAATAAAATAAAACAAAACACGCTTGTCAGATGATATACTCGTACAATGTTTTTCACGTAGAGCTGCAGCAATGGGCAATGTCAATAATAGAAATAACTAATAAATTATAGAGAAATCCGTGAATCTGTGTGAAATGTCAAAATCATGATATTCAAGATATATGCCTATTGCATGTTATTCGATCATACGAACAAACTGGTGCAGAAAATAATTATTTGCCTCACAATGTTTGCAATAACAGACCATTATGTCTTATTGTACATGAACAATATTAGAGAAAGATTTAAGTGAGCAGTGCAGCGCCTCTCATATCAATCTCAATTTATGTGTATATTTGACAAATATCTCAAGAAATTGTAGTTCATTCCGAATAAGGTCAAATGTCAAAAACACGACAACTTGTAGGAAATCCATCATGGCCGACAAGTCTGATTGTTGTGCACACTGATCAATAAATGTGTTTGATATGTACAAGAACACATAATCCAATGTACAATAAACTTGTAATAACAAATTATCGGCACACAACAGAGACTACTAAACCCGATTATAGCGCAAACCATTCACTGGCATAATTTAATATCAGAGTTCTAAAAAATGTCGTCTCGATTGCATTCTAGGGCCTGGCAGGCGGAAAAACCTGCGGGGGTATAACTATGGCAAGCCGGTAATATCCTATCTAGGGTTTGCATCTGGTTTTGTAATGCGTGCTTTACCTGCATGCATGCAATAATAGCTGCAATTCTCTCCCCAGGGACACGACATACGGTGTGCGGCAGTTTTCGCCTTCATTCAAAAAGTATTTTAAACTGACTGAGAGCATACAAACTGCTCAATGCTTATTGATTACGTAAACTGCTGTTTTAGGGCATTAGTGCACGTGATTTTATTAACTCTCGTCGCGTTATTGAAAATTAGAACCCAGAATTCACTTAACTTCCTCTGTAAACTAAACTCCATCAACAAATTATGGCTCGCTGCCCTCTTATAAATAGCGCGGTCTGATTGGAATACAAATGAGATCATTATTATTCAGTTGTCATGTCCATGAATGTTGACTAGAAATATTTAGGCATTTTGTCAGGGTCGTCTAACTGTGATATTTTTAATAATGTACCATAATTTGTGATTTTTATCACGTGACATACCCAAATTGTGAATAAACATAATAAACTAAACTACAATTACAGAAGTATTGCTGGACAACTTGAAAATATATTGCCCTGACACATTTCCTAATTTCCTAATTGAACAAAAACGAATATACTCCTAAATGTAGGTGAATGAATACCAGGGAGACTATTACTAATGGTTATAAAGTCTTATCTCAATACAGGTTTGGTTTGAATAGTTATCCTGGGAGTCGATATTCCTTGGAGAGCAGTATCAGCAATATTCACCTCGTGGGAATGTCAATCACGGAGGAGAAACTCACGGCTGCACGCGCCTTATACACCGGTATTTGCGATGACAAAGTGTATATTGTGATAATTATTTTTTTAGCCTTCCAGAAACAGCCAAAAAATAGATTACTAGTAGGCATAATGACAGCTTAAGCCCGAAATACTCTAGAAGCGGACATTGTAAACGTCTTGGGAGCGTGTAGCGTGGGAAAATACAGCTCATATAACAGCATTGGCTCTTTGACTGATGACGTACTATCAGCGTAAATTGACTGATATGGACATTGCTTCCACCTGTCAGCAGAGAAGCGTGCTTCCCTATAGCAAATCTAATTGGATCGTATACCGCATGGTCGAGGTCAAAATATCCAATATTTCAAATGGTGCGCTGCATACAACGCTTGCACGAGTCACGCTTTATTTTCCGCTCCAACAGCTTCAGGAATGTGATTAAAAATGTGAGAAAGAAAAGGAAGTTCAAAACGCTTTCTTAGAATTAATAATTGCCGAACTAGGCGTCCAAGCCCACAAAATGATTGCGGATGGTCATTCATTGTCATTGTGTTATCATATTTAGGCAATAAATGTAGTTAAATATAAAATCAAACGTATTTATGATTTAGTAATATCACGGCCAATTCCCAAATGAATTGGGGGAATCAAAGTGGGAAAATTAAGGTACATACAATCAATCCCCTTCTCACGCAAACCCGCCAAGCCTATAGTTTTGTCATCGAAATATACATTAAAAATGACGTACGTACACGAGCAGTTGGCTGATACCACGTGCTATAATCAATGCCATTGTCTCATTCGGTATATTAATGTCACTCGTGACAACGACTGGTTTATCAACCAATAAGGTGTATATACAAATTAACAGGGGTTTACATGTCATTCTTAGGTATATGAAACTACATTAATCGCAATGCTAATCGGTGAAAACAGACATCCTGTCCATTGTCTAACATGACATATATATTTAAGACGACACTATATGCCAATTGAATAATACGTCGTCTATGCAGGTGATACTATACTAGTATATCCTGTCCATTGTCTAACATGACATATATATTTAAGACGACACTATATGCCAATTGAATAATACGTCGTCTATGCAGGTGATACTATACTAGTATATCCTGTCCATTGTCTAACATGACATATATATTTAAGACGACACTATATGCCAATTGAATAATACGTCGTCTATGCAGGTGATACTATACTAGTATATCCTGTCCATTGTCTAACATGACATATATATTTAAGACGAAACTATATATGCCAATTGAATAATACGTCGTCTATGCAGGTGATACTATACTAGTATATCCTGTCCATTGTCTAACATGACATATATATTTAAGACGAAACTATATATGCCAATTGAATAATACGT